CAGCCCCGCCACTTGTTGCCACAACTCAGCTGGCTTCGTACACTGGGGCCTCGAACTAGTGCATTCGGCTCTAGCTCTGGCGGGCTGAGCCCGCGGGATCTCCGCCCGCTGGTGCCGTACCTGCGCGCGCAATTTCCTGCTGGGCGCCTCAGCGGCGGCGAAACTGTCGGTCAAGGGAACACGAGAAACGCGAATCGGTGCTAGAGCCTTTAGGCCATACTCGGACCCCGTAGCATTGGGACGTACCACCGCGACGGACTGGAGGGGGTCTCCTTGTTCTCCTGCAGCGGACGTGTGAGGATCTCGGGAGCCGCAGGTCTGCACAGGGTGACTCGTTGTGGCGGGGACCAGACGGTAGTTGGGACAGAATGGGGCCGGGGCTGGTAGGATGGGCAGGGCTGGAGTTGGGACGGATCTGACCCCCGCCAAATGGGCGCGCCCAAGGCAGAACCCGTGACCCCGCAGGGCTGCCGGGCAGTAGCCACCATGATCATCCCGGTTCGCTGCTTCACTTGCGGAAAGATCGTCGGCAACAAGTGGGAGGCTTATTTGGGACTGCTGCAGGCCGAGTACACCGAAGGGTGAGGAGCCGGGCCTGCGAGGTGGGTGGCGGCGGGGCGGGGGTTCCGACGGCCGCTTCGAGATAGTGGGTCCTGGTGGTGGAGGGGGATGGGAGTGGCGGTCCTGACGGTAGTGACGGAGTCGTGGGATGGGGCTCTGTGGCAGAGCTGCGGTGGTGGGGTGCGGGTCTCGACCTCGGCGCTGGGGTGGGCGGGAGGCCGATACAGCCGGCAGAGAGTCATTCGGTGAGGCTACTATCAAGATTTTCAGGCCGGGATCGCCTCAAGCCCAGATCTCCCTTCTCTGAGGAGAGCGTTGCCTCCTGCGGTTTGGGGAGATGTGAGCCTCAAGCGCCAGTTTCTTGGGGACATCTGAGTATTATTCTAGAGGTTCACAAGTGCTTCCTCACCTCCAGCAAAGCATGAAGCTTCCTATCTCCCTGCTCCCTATCCTATTGTCTGCGCTCAGGCCAACCTCATGGCCCTTTAGCCTTGCTAGTCTTTAAAGATGCAGTAAACTTTTCTCCACTTAGGGAGTTATCATGAGCCTCTTCGGTCATTACCATCTGTCCACCCTCTCTGGACAGCTGTGTGTCTGGGTCACCTGTGAAGCCCTGGCTCCTATGGGCACCTATTCCATAGGACAGCCTAAGCTGAACAGATTTCTGGAATGATCAGCATGGGTGTGAGTGGCTGAGGCCCTGGTCAAACACCCCCCTAACCCGGTCTCCCCTTGCTCAAGCTGCCATTGGAGCCCACAGTGTGGGAATTTCCTTAAGGTCTCAGGGCAACTAGATTCCAGGGAAGTTGAAGCTTCTAACTGGTTTGGGACATGGTGGCTCCCTGGGAAGTGGCATTTCTACCTGATTTGGGGGAGCAGAGCTAGGTAAAGACCCCACAGGCAGTGAGTGGCAAGGGTGAGACCCTGTGCCTGCTGAGGGCTACTGGGGCACATGGAGCGCACTGTGTGGGAGACCTGAGCTAGGCGGGGAGGTCTGAGAATTAGCAGTTTGATGAGGGACTAAATAACTCTGGAAGCCCCAAGAAGTAGCCCCAGCCCTAGGTACAGAGTCAAAAGCAGGGACAGGAGACAGGTGAGCACAGGACACAAGATTGGAGGTTGGAAGGATACACATACTAGGTGAATGAGACTCAGAGCTTCCAGTAGATGGGAGAGGATGGCCCTTAGGGTCAGCCCTGATCCTGGAGAGATAAGCAGGCCTTGCCCACCAGGGAGGTGGGAGAGGGCTCCAAGCCCGTGCAAACTGGCAACCACAGTCAGCCTCACTGCTTCTCCCTTAACTCAGGGATGCCCTGGATGCACTAGGTCTGAAACGATATTGCTGTCGCCGTATGCTGCTGGCACACGTGGACCTGATCGAGAAGCTGCTCAACTATGCACCCTTGGAGAAGTGACCAGTGGAGAAGATTCCTGTCTGCTGACCATGTTGGACACACGTCCTGCTGAGTTCAAGCCAAGGCATCAAGGAGCCAGAAGCAATACCTGGCCACAGCCACAAGGGCAATACTCCCCATTCTAGAAAGAATCTAGTAAAAGTGTGCAGAACTAGCAAGAGGTCCTCCAGTCAGCCTGGCTTTGTGGGACTCGCTGCGCCAGTGTATCAGCTGAGGCTTGTCCCACGTGAGGCTGCCTGGCCCAGCTCTTCCACATCCACAGGGCTGGTCTTGATTCTGTTTCATGGCCCCATCCTTCTCTTACAAAGTTAGAAGCAAGGACTCAGCCAAGCCCTTTGTGCTGCTGCAGAACCTGCAGTAGGCAGAACCTCCTGGGTCTCTAGGCCCTGACCCTCCAAGGTCTGGGCCAGTCTGAGCATCAGGTAGTCCTGTAGTAGGGCCTCATACCAGTGGCTTGCCTATGAGTCTGCTGTAGTCCACTGGGACAGGCAAATGGGAGTGGATGGAGCTATCCCCAAGGTGAATACCCCAAAGGGTGGGGGCTGACATCCACCTCCCACATTCTGGGTCCCCAGCCCAGAGTACCTGCAGAGGGAAGGTCAGCACCAGCCTCCACATCCTGGGTCCTCTGGCTGAAGCTTCAGAAGGTCGGAGCCTTCACACTCCAGTAGGCCCTGGTGCCCTTCAGCAGATATGGGCTGGTGCTCTGCCCCAGCCTGTACCTCCTGTGTCCTCAAAGGTGGCCACAAGGATCACTGGTCTCAGGGCTCTGGAGGTCCTCCATTCCCTCCCCAAGGGGCTTTCACCTTGAGGAGTATACTCTGCTGCCTTCCTGCTGGGTTTCCCTGCCTGTGAGCCTTGTGAGTTCTCTGAACCGTGGGGACGGTGAGCAGGTGGGTCTGTCCACCCTACTGAGTGTAAAGACCCTCAGGACAACGCCATCTTCTGCTAAGGTAGCTGGTCAACCCAATTCTTCAACAAACGTTTATTGAGTGCCTATTAGTAGGCAGGAGTAATTGTAGGTATGTGGGCAACAGCAGCCGACAAAATCAGCAGATCCCCTGCCCCACAAGGACACTACCGGGAGACGGTGCAGTGCACACATGGTGGTACAGATAACATTAAAAGCAGTGGGGACAAACAAAACAAAAAGCAGTAAGGAATCTAAGCCAGGGTTCTGGCCATTAGGGAGCAGAGGCCCATGGGGAGGCCAAAGGCTGTCAAGTAGTGAGAGACTGTGTAGCTCCAAGGGCCCAGCAGGCACAGAAGGTGGCCCCCACCTGCCTCTGGCAGCCATACAGGGTGTGTCCAGACTCCACCCTGACTGGACACACATCAGGAAGCTAACCCACAACAGAGGAGGTGCTTGTGGGAGGGGGACATGATTGTCAGAGCCCAGCCCCCACCTAGCAGTCAGGCATAGGCCCTAAGTCCCCACACACGGGCACACTGGCCGCCTGGTGCCATGCTGGGGTGGGAGCAGCCTCAGGACTTGGTGTACAGAGAAAGGCACTTGGAGCCACTTCTGGGTGGCCCTGCCAAGGTTCAGCGTGGGGAGCACAGGCACACACAGATGTAGGCCTGGCCATCAGCAGTCAATTCAGTAGTCAGACATGGCGGGAGGTGGGCCAGACCCTGGGGCTCAGTAGTGCTCCAGCTTGAGGCTCCGGTACAAGCAGCAGGTGAATATCATGCCAAAGACCTGTGGACAGCCAGGTGGACATAAGCAGGCACCTCAGTGCTGCCAGCTACCACCACCACTGCCTGTACCGCCCCCCGACTGCCCCCCACATGCTCCCACCTGCACACAGGCAATGCCAATGCCCACCGCTCCGATGACCCTCAGGTGGTCCTGGATGAAGGTTTCCAGCTTGGTGATACAGCCACCCTGGCAAGTTGATTGGGATGGAAAAAGTGAGCCCTGGCCTATGGGACTGGACTGCCCACCCCTCCAGGTGCCCACCTACCTCCACCTTGTAGATGTTGGAGGCATGATCCCGCCTCCCACAGTCAGGCACCACGGTTTTGCAGCAGCTGTCGGGGACCACGCGCTTGCCTGCCTGGCCCGAGCGGATCCACTCACTATCGTGCCAGTCCTGAGAGTTGTTACTACCGCAGCAGTGAAACTACAAACAGCAGAGCTGAGCCTGTGGCCTGCAGACCACACTGGGGACAGCCAGAGGCACTCCCAGCAACACCCACCTCCTGCTGCAGCTTGTCCACAGCACTGGTCACACCCTCATGGCCTGGCTGGTGGTACCGCTTGGTCATGGTGTCCTTCAGGTTTTCTTTGAGCTCCGTATTCAGCTAGTAGACAAAGGGTCAAGGTCCAGGACCTCCAGGTGGGGCTGGGAGAGTCAGTCACCAGGCCACAGGGAGGGACATGTGCCCACCCATGAACCCCAAGGGCAGGCATCTTGGACACTAGGCAGATCACCCACCCGTAAGGGTACCCATGGCTTGTGAGACCCAGACTCCACCCCCAGGACCTGGCAGCACAATGGTCAGCTCTGGATGTGTAGGAAGTTGAGGGTGTTATAGCACTCTGTGTCCCTGTGTGCACCCTGTCCTGGATGTGGCCCATGTCCCTCAGGTCTGTTGAGGCCCCTCACCTGCTGATAATAGACATAGGCCAGGACACCTGCAATGATCTCCAGCAGAAAGATGATGAGGAGCAGGATGAAGTACTGGAGGGCAGGAACCAGGTGAGAGGGGCTCCCAGCAATGGGCACTGGAGTGAAGCCCCAGCCCAGGGGCCCCAGTGTGAGGGCTTCAAGCAGCAGGTAGGAGCTCAGGGCTGCCTGGCTCCCAATAGTAACTCGCAAAGCTGGTGCCTTCCCTAAGGCCCAGGCAGGCAGGGCACCATGCCTCCACCCAAGCACAGCAGGGCCAGCCTTCAGAGACACACTTAGCCCCCATCAGGGACCCACCCAGAGGCAGTCCCAGGTGAAGAGTGAGGGCCCCACCCCAAGCCCCTGTCCCTGCCACCCCCACCAGGGTGCCACCATGCCCTGCTGACCAAGCGCAGCAAGTTCCGCCGCTCCTTGAAGGTGGCACAGCAGCCCAGAACCCCAGTCACCATGACGACGATACCAGCCACCATCAGGATGTAGGCGGTGGCCAAGTAGGTGCTTGAGGCCAGCAGGCTGATGTAGTCACTCTTGAGGGCCAGTGTCCAGATGCCCACTGCCATGACAGCCAGGCCAGCCAGCTGTGGGCAGCACACACTGTCATCACAGCTGGCCTGGGTCCACACACCCCCATAACTGGGATGGGGTGCTGGCCATACTCCTTGCTCACCCAGAAGCAGCAGTTGAAGGTGAACAGCAGGTACTTGAGGCAGACTGTGCCGCAAGTCGTCGTCTTCTCGTTGAATTCACCCATCCTGATCTGGGAATGTGGGAAGGGGATCAGACAGCCTGCAACACCAGGGCTCTGACTGGGAGGATAGCCAGGGGGACAGAAGCGGACATAGATACACAGCCCTGCCTGCCCAGGAAAGGCCTGGGAGGAGCCTTCCCGGGAACTGAGTCACTTCCTGGCTATAGCTCAGAAGCCCTGGCCCCAGCAGCCAGGAGGGCAGATCCATGGTGTCCATGGGGGTAGGGGTGGGGGCAGACACCTAGGGTGAGCTCAACAGGCCTGGCCCACCCTCACAGCATTCCTTGGGCCCCAGGTCACAGGCTGGCAGGAAGCTGCTCCTCAGACATCCACAGAGGGGCAGAGAGGCAGGGAGCTCTGTAGGCCCAGCTCAGCCCTTCTCCGGTCTGCACACGTAAGGGGAGTGCAGTTGCCTGCAGGTAGAGCCTGCAGACCCACTGGCCTCCCCAAGCCGGGAGGAAGCTGTGCCCCTCCCCAGAGTCTCTGGGTACACAAGCATCTGCACTGGCAGACAGCAGCTGGGCGCCCTAGGCCACGTTTCCAGACTTTCACCTGCCTAGGCTCCGCCCCACCCAGCACTTACCAAGCAACTGGGGATGGCTCCTCCGTAGGGCAGGTGGGTGGAGGTTCCCCAGGATGCGGGACTAGAGGGGCCAGACAGGTCACAGGTCACAGGGCTGGCCCTGAAGGGGGCTGCCACTCCTCCTTGATGGGGCCTCAGCCATGGGCCAGAACTGTGTCCAGGGCCGCAGGGTCCACCAGAGGCAGACAGCACCAGCCAGACCCAGTATTTTAGTCTGGACTAGGGTGGGGCAACAGGCAGTCCTGGACAGTCTGACCCTGCAAGGGAGCTCACGCCCTCCCAGATACCCTACCCTGGGCCTTGGCTCCAGCTACGCCATCCCACCCCTTCCCCCACCAGACTGCAACAGCTGCAGCAGGGTGGGGGCCGATGCAGCGACCTCCACCCAGGATAGAGAAAAGGAAGAGACCTTCTTCACCCCTGGCCTAAGGAAAGCAGGCACCCTAAGAGCTGTGAGCTGAGAAGGGAACAGAACTTCACCGGAGCTGGGGGGGAGGGGGGAACCTCCAACCCCGAGTTGGGGTCAAATACAAGCTCCATCACCAGAGAGGGGGCACAAACACACCCTGCCGCTGGGCTAGTGCCCACACCTGTAATCCCAGTACTTGGGAGGCTAAGGCAGGTGGTTTACGGCCAGCTCAAGGTCAGCCTGGGCTACAAAACAAGACCCTGACTCTACTAGGGTGGCTGGACAGCGACCGAGGCCCTGGACACCGGGAAAACACGTAGTGGCCCCTCTTCCCAGGGCTGCCTGGTGAACTTGAGTCCCCAAGGGAAAGGGCCGGCGTGGGAGCTGGGCCTGGCCAGAAATAGCTCTAGCCACCAGGGCAGGGCTGCCGATCCCTGGTCCTGGACCTCCACGGGAAGCCCCGCGTCACCGCGATGAGGTCACCGCGCCCCCGCCCCGCCAGGCACGGTCACCGTCCCGCCCCCTGGAACCGTGCGGTGGGCGGGCCTGTGGGGGAGAAAAGGGCACCGTAGTGGGCGGACAATGCGCGTCCCGGGTTCCTGCACAGAGGGCGCTGCAGGTCTGTCAGAGGCCCGAGAGACACCCCCAACACCCTTCCGGCCCGACCCCCTCCGGAAGGGGTTGCGAGCGCTGTGCGGACCGGTTCGCCAGACGCGGCCCACGCTCGGACCTCCAGTGCCGGCGGCTGGCCTCG